CCCCCTTTCTTCACTCCCTCTTTCCTTCCTCCCTTTTTTTTCTTTCCTTCTCTATCTTTCCTTTCTTCCCCCCTCCCCCTTTTCTTCTCTTTCTCTCCTTCCTTCTCTACCTCTTTCCTTCCTTCCTTGGCTCTTTGCTTCCATGCTTCCTTCTCTATTTCCTTCTTTCTTTTTTTCCTCTTCCTTCCTTCCTTCCCTCCCTCCCTCTTTCTTCCTTTTTTCTTTATTGTCATTTAGCTTTCCATCATATAGCTTTTTTGTGTTTTTAAGTCCTTCCCACTGTTTTTTGGTGGGAGTTTATGAGTGAGGATCTGGTTGGTGCTGGGGGTATAGTGTCCAGTGGTTTTTGAGTTATGTTAATCCCACAAACAAACATTATTTTTTTATTTATATAGATATATTTTGTAAGCTGCTCTGAGTCCCCTTTGGAGTGAGAAGGGTGGCATATAAATGTCATAAATAAATAAATATTTGTGCCAAATTATATCCTGAATATCAGATATTTACATCAAAGTTCGTAACAGGAGCAAAATGCCAGTTCTGAAGTAGCAACGAAAACAATGTTATGGTTGGGGGTCACCACACCATGAGGAACTGTATTAAGGGGTCGCGGCATTCGGAAGGTTGAGAAGCACTGTCATCATTTTAAAGGAACAACAAGTAAAATATATAAAATACTAATTAAAGACACAGGAAAAAAAGAAAAGTGTAACATTAAGAGAATGATGGGAAGAGGAAGTAGGAGCAAAGATAACTGAAAAAGAATGGGAAGAGATATGGAAAGCAAGACACTTAAAAAAACATGTCAATTAGAATAAAAGAAAACTATTATAAACTAATTTGGAAATGGTATTTAACACCGAGAAGGTTAAACATTATAAATAAGAACAATAATGAAAAATGTTGGCGAGGATGCCAAGAAATTGGAACCTACATGCATATGTGGTGGGACTGCAAATATGCAAAAGATTTTTGGGAATTAGTTATAATAGAAATAGAAAATACACTGTTCAACGGAGAGAAAGTTTCGGACCTGAAAATAGTTGTTCTTTTATGATTTTGGGGCGCTGAAAACGAAAATGACATTTAAAAATGTATATTGGCTCTAGTTTTTATGATATAAGCAATCACGTGATCATGTATGTTTGAAAAAATGCATGTTGCGACTAACACTATGGAAGATTCTAGAATACTCTAGAAAGTTTGATGACACAGTATGAGTGCCGTGTACAAAAGCTAGAAAGCCCTCTATAAGGCCAGACTTTTGAACGGTGAGGGTCAGTCACTTGAAGACTGAGACAGTCATATTTAGGATGCTACCACTTCAAATTACAGAAGAAGAACTAATTAGATGGCAACAAATGATTAATAAGT